TTGACAGTGGTGGTGAATAAGATTCAACAAAAGAAAATGACAAGGGAGATGTTGTTAAAAATAATCTTTCTGTAGACGATGAAAGTAGTGCTTTTATTTACAAATCAGAAAGTAGTAAGGATGATGACGTAGAAAAAAATTCATACGGTGGGAGTAATTATTTAAGTGTTAAAACTCGTAGAAATAATGTAAAATGGTTTTTTACATCATATTGTCTCAAAAGTTAATGTAACTGAAAGATTATATTCTGAAAAATCTTTTCAAGAGTTTGAAAAAGCTTTCAAACTCTTTAAAAAAATAAATCAGATGATATAAACGGTAATATAGTCATAGAATGCTTTGAATACTTAAAAGATATCCTATTTAAAGTCTATGGAGCGTCTATACGCCAAGGAGTTTTTTCTGAACAACTAAAAATTACTAAAGTTACTCCAATTTTAAAAGAAGGTGATCAAACAAATATTAGTAATTATCGCCTTATCACTGTCCTGTCCACATTTTCAAAAATACTAGAACGTATTATGTTATAATAGACTATACAATTATCTTCATTCTAATAATTTTTTATACAACTATCAATTTGGCTTTAAAAGAAATAATTCCCCAGAACATGCAATTTGTACGTGAAATCTCTAATTCTTTTGTATAGAATTCCATTATTTTTAGAAAAAAAATTTCTAAAAATAATGGAATTCTATACAAAACCAGAACATATTTTTGGAAAAAAAGTAAGTACCTCAACTCTACTTCTCATTAATTCATAGTTATTTAAATTATGCTAATGTTGCATGGGGAAGCACTGAAAAAAGTTAAAACGCCTTTATCGCCGTCAGAAACATGAGATCCGTTTAATAAATTTTGCCGATCGATACACTCATTCCAAACCAATTTTCATTGAAATGAAAGTTCTTAATATTTATAGGCTTAATGTTTTTAATGTTTTGTGCTTTATGTATATGTGAAAAAATGACATACCCGTTTCTTTACCCGTTTTCAAAGATTTCTTTTGTTTGAAACCAATAAAAAAATATACACTTAGAAACAATAATTTTATATATGAGCTCTTTTGTTGAACCAAGTTTAATCAGTTTTGTATTGCATATCGTGCACTCTATCTTTGGAATAAAATTGTTTTCTCAAATATCGAAATGCATTTTACTTTTCCCATTTTCAAACACAAACTGAAAAATTTAATTATCTCAATGGATAATGTAGTCAGATTTTTTAAATTGTAACTTTATATTTTTTTAAGAACGTTTATTGTTTATTACGTTTTATTTTGTTGATTATTTTTTTTTTATGTAGTTTATATACACACGCTTAAATAAGTTCTGATGATAAAATCAGTACAATCTTCTTTCAGAAACCTTGTTTGTGTTTGTGAAAGTAATTTATTTACTAAAAAAAAAAAAAAAAAAGATTTCAAACTCAGAATGTGTTTACTGCCAAAAACGGAACAACTTATTATCGTAATGTTTTGACACCTATTGATGCATTTAGACTAATTATGGATGAAAGGTTTACACGCTTTATCAAAAAATGTACTGTTTTTTATTTGCCGATTTATCAAATGAAGGATGGAATATATGCGACATTGAACTTGATGCTTTCATTGGCTTTTTATGTCGTCGCGGTTGCATGAACGCAAGAAAGTTTAAAGCTAACTTTTTATTGTCTGAAAAGTATGGCAACAAAGCTTTTATAGAAGCTGTTCCACGTTCTCAATTTGAAGACACCTTGAAAAACATAAGATTTGATATACGTTTATAAAGTAGAGAGCTCCTCCAAAGTGATAAATTTGCTCTTATGTCATGGGTGCTGACAATATTTGTAGAAAACAATTTATATCTGAGGAATCTTTAACAACTGATAAACAGTTGTTCCCCACTAAAGCTCGGTGTCGCTTTACACAGTATATGCCCAATAAACCGAACAAGTTTGGAATCAAATTCTGGATTTAAGATAATCTAAAGACTAAATATTGTCTCAGTATCAAACCCCATCTAGGTAAAGATAAAAGCCTTGTAGAAAACTTGGGTACTCATGTGGATATTTCACTAATGGAACCTTATTTAGGCCGCGGGTATGATATTACAACAAATAACTTTTATACAAGTGTCGATCTTGCAACAAAACCTTTGATAAAGAAAACGTCAATTGTTGGAACAGTTAAAATTAATAGAAAGGAATTTCCAGGAATTTTCCACTTGATCCATTTCCACTTTATGATTCGACTTTCTACATAAATGGACTATTGAACTTGATTGTCTACCAGGCAAAGAAGAAGAAAAATATAATTTTGTTATTAACACTTTTACAAAAGTTACACAACAAAAAATAGACTTATATTCATTGATAAATTTTAAGTTTAATAGTATTATCTCTCAGCGTTCACAAATTATGACAATATCAAATTTGCAACCCCCTCAAATTGAGGGGCGGGGTATTATTATTTATTTATTTTTTCTTCTCCAGGTATACCATATAAAATATACATTTATTATCATGAAAAAAAGAAAATATATATACAAATTTATTACGTATCAGATTGATAAAAATACATTGATGCAAACTTTAATATAAATTCTGATATAATGACATATATTTATATATAATGATATAATTATATATATTTATTTTTTCTATACTTTGATACTTAAAAAAAAGGAAATCAAGAAAGGTTCAGCATTTTTGGGTATAAAACTCTAAAAAAAATTTTTTCGCAGATTCCCTTAATAGCGCCATTTGGCGTATATCTGTCTATATAAAAAATTAATTAAGTAAACTTACAAATAACTGTAATAAGCATTGTAATTGCTATTTCTACTGTTATAAATATTTTTTTTTTATTTTTTTTTTTTACTTTTTATAATTTTTTTTTTAATTTATTACAATCGTTTTTACAAACTAAGAATATGCATCATTGCTTGCCGTTTAAACGACGATATTCCATTTAAGTCTTTTAATTTTTGATTTTTCAAGTTTTTCCATATTTTGGGACCCTGTGACACAATTGAATATTCAGAACCCCGGGTTTTAGTTTTTTTTTATATAATAGTTATGGAAGCTATTTGATTGCAGATTATAACTTTGAGAAAATGATGACAAAAATATGTCTAAAAAAGAATTTGGTAGCATATTATTTTTATATTTGAACATAAAAATAAGAATCTGATATAAATTAAGTTTTTCCAAGTTTAAGACTTACATATTTGTCATCGCATTAGAAAGTTTGTCCATTCTACCTAGATAATGAATTAATTTACGAGCATGGTTTTGCAAGCCTTGTAGTTTGATTAATTTTGTTTTGTGTGTTTAGCCAACACTATATTAGTATATGTGAGATTACTGTGAATTAGACTAAAGTAGTTTTTTTCTTGAACAGAAATCAAGAAACGGGCGACATTTATATAAAATACCTATTGCAGATGATATTTTAAACAAAATTTTGCGGCTTTTTGTTTCCAAGCTCCTATCATCGCAATTTTCTACAAACCATCCTTATTTAATATAAGCATAAACTTGTAAATGTTTAGAGTTTGTTCCATGTCCGGAAGTTAAGGCGAGTTTCCACTCATCCGTTTTTTAACGGGAACGGGATAGGAAAGTAAAAAATAATCACGTGAGCATGCCCAATAAATGTTTTCATTTGTCCGAAAGAAAACTGCGAATGCTCACGTGATTATTTTTCCGTTCCCCTTCCCTTTCCCGTAGAAAAACAGATGAGTGGAAACTTACCTTTAGCTATCTCAAAGACCAAAAAAATACTTTTGGCGAGCCTGGCATTTCGGTAGATCAGCCTAATAAGGTTCTATCTCCAAATTTTTATGGTAAAAAAATTTAATTTTCTGTTTTCAATTATAATATTATTTTTGCGTTCAAAATTATATAATTTTAATATATTAATCTTTTTATTATTGTTTATACAACTTTAAAAATTGTTAGCTTTTGTTTTTTCATTGTCAATTTAAACCTTATTTAATAAAGTTGGAATTAACAATTTATTTATGGTCAAGCAATTTCAAAAATAATGAAATTAATAATGTAAGATTAATTATAAAACATAAATAACATATATTTTATCAATATAAACAACAGTAAAACATTTAAATAATTAAAAATCGAAAGTTAAATTCTCACAACGTTAAGAAATGGAGATAGAACTCTATTATTCTAATTTAACGAGAAGCAAATATTACTCACCGAAAATCCCTAGTTGCTGCTAATAATAATACCACAGTAGCTACCTATAGTAATACACAATTATCAACCCGTTTGAGATTTCAGATGAAAACAGACTGCAAATGTAACCTGACATCAATAGTATGTGGAAATTGTAAGAAACCTGTTTGTGAGAAGTGCTTTTCAAGTATATGCAAACATTGCAAATAACCTTAATTATTTGAATAAAATTTTTATGTTTGTTTTTTATGTAATTTTTCCGCTTTTCAGTAAATAATATCAAAATAATGTCATAAAATATGATTTTATCAACATAAAAATTTTAGCTTCAGCAAAGTGTCTAAGTCGTGTTTGGATCAATTATCCACCTTGGGGCTTCTAGTGTTAAGAATTTTGTATTTTTTACCTAGATTTACCTATAGTTCTTCATTGCCCTGTAGGATAAAGTTTTTTTTTTTACATTTTTAATTTAATTTATAATTTTAATTTAATTTACAATTTTAATTTAATTAAACAGTAACAGTTATAGTTTGTGTTTCAGCTTCGGTGTTACGGCATCTGGATAAAAACTTTATTATTAGAAATTTTTTTATTTGAATTAATGTGCAACCACTTATACATATTACATTCCAGAACAGAAGTAGTCGCATCACAATCAACGTCATAGCCTTCTTCAATCGTCTCCGAAACGTTACCAGGACATTCTCCGGTAATAACGATTCCATTTTTTTCAAGCACCTTAAGAAAGTAAACATTTCTGTTGAGGAATTAGAAGATTGTGACAACGGAGACAATAACAGACACGTTGTTGTTAAAGAATCAACCAGTTTTGAATAATCAATCGCCTCTGGATTAAATGGTGTAAGCCACATTTCCAGAATCCCGATACAGCATTTTCTGGTTTACCTTTTGCTTTTTTCCATACAATGTCGAACACTGAAAAAAAATTTACCTTAGTCATTGCCATGTTTAAAACTGATTGTTAAAATCTTTTAATGCCTTGTTCCAATAAGTTTTGAGTGGCCCGTAGACGGAAACATCCAAAGGTTGTATCAAATGGCTAGCATGAGCCGGAAAACAATGTAGAATAGTTCAACTCACTGACACAGACATCGATATGTGTTGAGTGACCGTTTCAACATTTTCTTTTACCGATGAATAGAAGTAATTAGACAATCACGAAAATAAGCAATTGCTAGAAATCCATCCGTTAATGATTCCCAATGTCCCTGCTAATGGAAACCCTGCTTCGTCCAAATTAAACACTCTACTAGAGTTTTCTAGAAATAGGATCTCTGAAGCGTTTATTTCGTGTTCATCAAACAAATAATTCTCCAGGTCAGTAAACGATTGCCTAATTTGAGCATGAGTATCGTTTCGCCGCTGGTAGCCTAAATTTTCAGGCATTCTTCTTGCAAGATCTGAATGTCTTTTGAAAAACATACCAAATATAAAGTAAAAAAAAAAACAGGTTTATCAAATTAAACACATATTAGGCAGATACAAAAACAATTATAGGTCAATCAAAATCTAAAATTTTGTGTCATTTCTTTATAATATATTCAAAACACTTAACAGAGAAGCAATTATTTACCTGTAGATCAAAAACTTGCTTGGCAGATTATTAACAAACTTTCTATGAGCTATCAAATCATTTTTTTCTTTATCGTTAAGTCGATGCTCTGTTATATGTTGTTTTTCTTTAATGTCTAAAAGATTTTTTTGGTAAATACCATATCCTATTTTGCTACTTTAATTAAAAAGACTTTTATTTTTTCTTCGTCCTCTTTTTCTAAAGCAGGTTTGCGACCTTTAAGTAAAAAAAATGTTAACTTCTTAAAAAATCTTATGCAATTTTATTGCTTATAGAGAATTACATCTAGTATAGTAAGTAAATAAATATTTTAAACAACACTAACCTATCTTTTGGTTGGCGGTAATGCCATTCATTCTATCACCGATTGTCTGAGAAGGTACATTATATTTTAAACTTGCTTTTCTCCATAAAAAATGATTGTCTCGCACATCAGCAACAGCCGTCATCACAGCTTCCTCGTTATATTTTTGGTACTTCTGTCTTTTCTTAGAGTCCATCAAGGGCGGATCTAGGGGTATCCTGTGTTGCCCAGGATTCACCCATAATATTCTAAGAAATTATAAAAAATTCCGTTTCATGATCTAAAAAATACTAAACTTAAATTTATAGAATACTAATATGAATATATGAGTTCTTTAAAAAAATAAATATTGCCTTTATAGAAAAGCATACACGGCTATAACAATGTTTCAAAGACTTAGCTCTCCTCCGTCATGTTTCATAACGCCAGGATTCTTTTTTTAAAGTAAACGGTACCGAAAGAACCCTTTTAATCAATCGTTATTTCAATGTATTTATTTTGCTTGCCGTAATAAAGGCAAAAAAATCCCTATTGTTTCAGGATTCAGTTGACCCGAATTTTCGGTAGACAACAAAAAAAAGTTGATCAAAAGGGTTCTCTCGGTTCCGTTTAAATATAAAAATGAATCCTTAATTATTCTAATAACGCCTTAATTATTCGTACAAAGCCTTAAGTATTCGAATAAATTGAAATTTATCAAAAGTTAGCATTAAGTTGTTTTATTACAAATTTTATTTTTGTTTGCAATTATGGATTTGTTGCTATCCAATGCCATTAAAGCCAAGCATTTGCCTAATATTACGACTTACAAAGCAAAGTTTCGTAATAATCTCAAAGAATTAAATTCAAACTTTCCTGTTATAAACAAAGATCTTCTTTCTTTAAGAAATTCTGAAATAGAAGCTTTTATTCCCATGCAAAAAGAAAATGAAGACTATTTCTTTTTTAAGTATGAGTTTAAATACGTTTTTTTGTGTTTTATTTTGTTTATAAAACAATTCTTGACAAATAATGTTTGGTTAAATATGTTTGTTTTAGTTATATTTAGTTTATATATGTTACGACTTTACAGGTCAATGGAAAACGGTAACTGTCTTTTCAACTCTGCTGCTTTATTAATAAATTCATCAGATAAAACACATGAAATTCTTCGACTATTAACTTCTGATGAGTTGTTTGAGAAAGCAACCTTTAATTCGAGATAATCTTAAACCAAGTTGAATCTAAAAATTTTTTCTTCACTCTCTAGTGTTTTCATGACACGTGTTTTATTTGAGTCTTCTGATTCTTTACAGAATTAAATGATATAAATATTGCTGAACTTATAAAAAAAGATGCTTATAACAATTGCAGAAACAATAACTTTGCTTCTTTTCTTTGTTTTTAATTCTTTTAATTGCTTTATCTACAGTGTTAAATAAACAAATTTGGTCTATTTATACTGATTTTGGACTTGAAAAATATTAAAAATTATTTAATGTATGTATATACCCACGTGGTGATCATAAAACAAATAAAGAAATTCTGAGTATTTTATGGTGTAGCACTGATTATCGCTCTATTTCCAAAGATAAAGATATGTGGTCACCAATTTATCTTGTCAACCTCCTAAAAATCTATTTTCGAAAAAAAATCATTAGTTCAATCCCGGTGGGAAGTCGGCTAGCGAATAGCTAGCTATAATCGTTACGATAAAGACAGCGATTTGGCCACGAGGATCGCTAGCTTTTTTAAGTTAGCGAAAAGCTATCGATTTTTGTAAAGATAAAGACAGCGATTTGGCAACGAGGACAGCTAGCTTAACAAGCTGAAGATCCACTGGCTATTGTACCTAGCGTCATATCGTAATAAAACCGTTGTCTAAAAATTTTTGATATGTAGCTATCAACCAGGTATAGATTTGTAGATATTTTGTAGCTAGCTACAAAGCTACGATATGTAGCTAGCGACACATTGCTACAAAATCGCAATGTTTAAAGTTCAATTATTTTCATAGTTATAATAGACTAAACACTAAAAATCGAATTTTTAAAGATGTTAAAGACATTTGCAAAAAATAAAATAAGAAAAAAAAAAATCGCTAGAAAATCGCTATAGAGCTAGCTAGTCGCTAGCTAGTCGCTAGCTCATTTCCCACCGGGATCTCGTGTAAAGTTTGGCATTGGTAATGAAACTAAAATTATAGATGTAAATACTGATATTACTCCAAATCCAATCTTACTTAATTGTATTCCTTGTTCATCAAAACAGTCTTCAAGCCTTCCTTTTTATGATGTTTCTACTTACTATAGGCACGGTAGACATTTATCTGCTGGCAAAGATGATTCAATGTTATTAGATCTAATTAATAAAGTATTTATTCCTAACTTGTCTTTTGCTTTTCCTGTTTCTGGTGAAAAAAAGAAACGATCATTTTTATATTAATGGCTACTTGAATATTCCTGGTTAGCTTACTCACAGATTAAAGATGGAGCATACTACCATCCATGTAAACTGTTGGCAAGCAAAATTCCAAACAATAACTCAATAATCAACTTTATTTGAAAACCTTTTAAAATATGTCAATGCATTGTCTTAAAATCCTGCAATCTAGATCTAACTCATAAAAAAATCTAAGAAAAAAACTTATTGTAAGTAATTGAAATAAATTAATTCCAATTATAAAGACAATTATTTTTCTTGGCCGCAATGATATTGCTTTTCGAGGTCATCGTGATGACAGTAAATATCATTTAGAGATCGGAGAAACATGTAAAGACAACATTGGTATAGGTAACTTTGTAGAGCTTTTAAATTTTCGTATTGAAGCAGGTGATAAAGTTTTTGAGCACCATATTCGTTCTGCTCCTAAAAATGCAATCTATATATCTAAAACCGCGCAAAACGACTTTTTGAATGCTGTGGAAAAACAATCGAAGAAGTTCTAATTAATAAAATCAAAAAGTCAGGTTATTTTTCTATTTTATGCGATGGAACCTCTGATTGTTCTAATGTTGAACAGCTATCTCTAGTTATAAGATACATTGACTGTCATAATTTTATTTGGGAAGACTTTCAACGGTTTATTGAATGTAAATCTGGTACAACTGGTTTTAGTCTTGCGCAAAACATAATTTCTACAATTGATGATCTTGGCGTTTTGATATATCACAACAGTGTAATGAAATAAATTGTTTAAAAACTCAAATTTTAGATTAAAAAAAAAATATTGTTGTCTATCATAACAAATGGTACTTAATTGCTCTTTATCTAGCTAAGATTCTCAATGTTTCAGAAGTTAAACCGAGGCTCTGCGGCAGAAAATCTATAGAGATAATTATCCCTCTGACACAGTTTCAGATTATTTCAAATATTCCATCACATTTCCTCTTCTAGATCATTTAATTAATGAATTAGAAGATAGATTTGATAAAGGTGAGATGGTTGTTTACAAAGGTTTATCTGGTATTCGTGCAATTGTTGTAAAAAAAAAATAATAATAATAATAAAGAAAAATGTTTTTGGAAGTTACATTTTATGAAATCATCAATTCATGCTGAATTAGATTTGTGGGAAACATTTTGGAACAATCAATCTGCGATCCCATCCACTATTATAAAGACTTTAAAATCTATTGATATGAGGGGTTTCCCAAACATTAGGGAAGGTTTTTTAATAATGGGAACAGTTCCAATTACTACATGTGAATGCGAGAGGAGCATTTCTTTTATACGCAGACTGAAAACTTATATGCGAAGCCGCATGACAGAGTCAAGATTTAATTCTTTAGCTCTGATGTCTATTCATCAAGAAATAATTCCTGATGTAGAAAGAGTTTTAAATATTTTTTCTGTTTTAGGAGGACAACGCTTAGAGTTGGTTTTTACTTAATATAAATTTATTTTTTATTAATTGACTATATTCTTGTATTTTATTTTTCATTTAAGTTTATCTTATTTTAATGAAATTTAGAAAAACCAACATAAAAAATTTAAAAATAAAAAACTTTAAAAAAAAATTTGGCCTAACTGCCTATCAAGAAAAGGAAAGAATCCAGAAATGGAGGGCTAACCTTAGGCCACATGACAGTTTACAGATGGAGTGCAAAGTCCTATGGCTTACCTTCTTGTTGGTGCACTTCGTTAAATAGGTTAAACAAGTAAAAAATGTCTATTTTATAAACAGAATAGCCAAGGCAATAAGGTTATTAGTTTTGTGTTATAAGGGTAATTGAGAACAATGTCTAGTAAGTAATTATAAAGTACTGATGTTGCTTTGATGACGAATTGCCAAAATATAGTCGGCGATATTTTTTTGCAACCTTCCCCCCCCTCGCTAACCCGGGGGAGGGGTTTACAAAGAAATATCGCCAACTATATTTTGGCAACTCGCCCATAAAAAATCCTGCATCCGCCCCTGGAGTCCATAGTCACGATAACAAACTTGGTTAAAAAATTATAACTTGCAATTTCTACTATGATGATACTATATTTTTAAAAAGTTGAAATTTGAATTCAAATATTGCTTACTTTAAAGAAATCCAGCCATGCGGATAATTTCGCAGCTGTTGCTTTAATTTTTTTGTTTTGTCTTAGAAAACGTCACTAGTAACAATAAGAATGCTTTTTAAGATGTGGAAAGGTTGTACTAACAAAAGAAAAATAACAAAAAAAAGGTAAAAAATAAATTCCGCCATTCCGGCTTGAAACATTGGCCGGAACCGGATTGACCTAAAAGTCACAAATTTCGGTACATCTCTATTGAATTGTAGGATCGTGTTCAAACAATTAAGGTGAGTTTCCACTAATCCGTTTTTCTACGTGAACGGGATAGTGAAAAATAATCACACAAGCATGTGTAGTTTTCTTTCGGACAAATTAAAACTTAAGGTGAGTTTCCAATTATCCGTTTTTATTCGGGAAAGGGAGAAGGAACGGAAAAATAATCGCACGAGCATGCGCAGTTTTCTTTCGGACAAATAAAACTTTTATTACGCATGCTCACGTGATTATTTTTTTCTTTCCTATCCCGTTTCAGTAGTGCCATTTTATTATTTATAAACGATATAGTTTTTCGTATTGAGGATAACTTTGGCATCATGCTACTTGGAGACAACCAAGTTGACAGGCAGCAAGAGGAACTATAAACGCTTCGTCAATATGTTAAAAAAATTTTTCAACATGATCTTTTGTAAACGTAACATAGATACCGAAGAAAAGTTTTATTTACGCTAGAGAAAAAATTCTTTTTGTTTACGTTAGTGTTCTTTATATATTGATATAAAATTAATTTAGATATCGGTATGTGTCTTCCGATAAGAAACTTTTTCATAACTGTTTTTTTATTAATGAAAAAGTCTCGTACTTTACTTGAAAAGGTCTTTATAATTACCAAAACTCTATATAAAACAAGAGTGTGGAATCCTTATTATTAAACAGATATTGTAAGGTAAAAAAATAATTCAGAAACGCGTTACTAGAACTTTCTATAAAGTTTATCATATTCCTTATAAAAATTAATCATCTCGAATGTCAAAGAATTAAGTTCAACTCTTATCACATCATCAAATTATCTTCGTTGTCTTTGTTAAATCGGAATTAAAAAATATTCAACCCCACTTATCACCGAGAAAAACAGATTAATATAATATTAACCCGTTTTTGTTGGTGATACATCAAAACTACGAGTAATTTTGATATTATCTGTAGTACCACTTACAAAATTTTCTTTATATGCATCTAAATAAAATAATGGTAATAGGCTGGGTGAATAAAAGAGTAATTGTTTAGCTTTACATAAATAAAAATTTGAACAAAATCGCTCAAATTTTTATTCACGAAAAGTTGAGTAATTTACTTCAAAAACGCCGAACAATTCCACAGTTTTACGTGAATAAAAACTTGAGCAAAATTGCTGAAGTTTATATTCACGTAAAGCTGACTAATTACTGAGCCAAAGCAAATGCTTTTTTTATTCACCCGACCTAATGACTTTATTTAATAAACTTCTTCGATAAAGATTACGGCCATATTTAAACACGTCACATGGCAAATCCATTAAAACTCTGCAGTGCTATATTATACTATGTGCAGCAATATCAATAACTAACTCCACATATCCGAAGCGATAGCAATCGGTAGATAAAAAATTAAATATTGTAGTCTAACGATAAGCTATGTAAACAAACTAGGAAATAAAATAAGCGAATCATGGGATAACTCTCATCCTACTTATCCATTAACTTATTAAAAGAGAAATATTTTTAAAAAGAATTTACTATATTACAATTATTTTATAATTTATATTTATCTACACGTGTATAGTATTACTTTTAATTAATACAACATTTTTCGCTAACGTAATGCATGTAGGTGCACGAGTAGTTTTTTAATTGCATATTAGAAGTGTCATCGCACACATATCCTGATATAAAACTTTTATCCTTAAATTCAGACACTGTCCCACTTGAAGAAACCTAAGAGAAAAATATGCTTTGATAATTAGATATCAATCAATAATGTAAAACATTAAGTAATAATTATTACCTCAAAATCATACCTAAATGAATACCTATAAACTACGATGGATGTGCACGTGCGTACGAACTAAACTTTGAACTTCCAATATTTCTGTTAATTAAACAAAATTCTACTCACCTTGCTTTGAAAGAACGTGATAATAAAATTTCCTGGTTTGAAAATACGCAAGACACGATTGATCAAATTATCGTAATCCTTCAAGTGAATATTTGTTTCGAAACTTACATAAGAACAAAATGGCTGAGGAGTAACATGAATCGTGTAGTAACTTTCTCTAAACAGACTGTTTAAAGAAAAACCCATCGGGTCAAATACAAGACCGTCATTCACAGATCCAGGTATAATCTTCGAGATGCCAGTGTTCTGAGAGAAAAGACAAAAAATATCACGTCTTTCATGATAAAAATATCAATGTGACTAAAAAAATGAGTGGTTTAATTTTACCAACAAAAAAACTCTGTAAAAACTCTTGTTTTGTACTTATTACAGTTTTCAGTATTGTTGATTTGAGTGAGATGTGCGCTCGGAAATTTGCATGCAACCCATATTCTTGCTCACGTCTTTGTTGTTTATGTTATCGCTATTGTTTTTTATTTCATTTACATTAAAAGGCACGAGGAATAAGTTTATTAGGATTATCAACCCAAGTAAATATTTGGAAATGTTTTATTGCTAAGAGTTTTTTTTGATCGAATAAGTTTAGGTATAAAAATATCTCTAAAGTATAGCACACAAAATATCTTTTCTAATTTTCAAATGTTTATGGCAAATATTTAGTTATTGAAAACAGTCATAGAAAACGCCTGATAGCTTTGCGTTGACATCAATTATAAACCTTGTTTAGTCGTAAGGGTAATTGGAGCGAAAGTTAAAAAACGCGTTAAAAACTTTTTCTTAATTAAATACTTGGCCCCTGAAAGCTTTCGCGACCCCAGGGCATAGCAGCAATTAAGCGCTCTTAAACTTACGTATATTTTTAAAAGGAATTTAAATCAAAAACAAATGCAATCATACATGTTGATAACCATTTTTTATTTCTGTTACAATCATTTTACATCCATATTTTCACGAACCGCATCTAGATTAAATAACACTTATGCAACACATATAACATACACTGAACAGGATCACTAGAACAATTGTCTGAAATTAATATTGAAAATTCTCTCTTTAAGCCTTTTTACATATAAAGTTATCCTGACAGAGACCCTTTCACATTGACGGTAAACACGTTTTATTTTAAATGCGTTTCATGTTTTTAATGTTATAACTGTATAAACATTAACAAAACAACATGACGAGGTTATTTTATAATAGCACAAGCGTTTTATATTAAAAAACAACCTCGCAATATTGTTTTGTTGTTTTATACACCATTTTACAAAAACAATTTATCGTTTTATCGTCAGTATGAACGTGGTATTAGCTGATTCATTTTCAACACGAAGGGTCGATAGTGGCTCTACAGCAATTTATTTTAAAATCAATTATAGGATACTTAAGGACCATTCACCCTCTGCAACAGATTTTGGCATTGTATTTTAGTATATTAAAGGACCATTCACCCTCTGCGATAGACTCTGGCATTCACCTTCTGCAACAGACTCTGGCATTCACCTTCTGCAACATAATCTGGCAACAAATTATGTATTAAAAACATAAATAGGTTGAGAAGTGGAAATTTTAAAATCTATACAATCTTCTATAATCATTTTAATATCTTTTTATATAATGTGAACTGAATTTTTTTTTTTAAATTGAATTCACCTCCTCAAGGCTATAGCCACTATAGTCGAGGAGACTACTAAGGTTGTGGTTACAACCCTCTCTCAACTCTATAACTCTGAAACACAAACCTTAACAAACAAGGCCGCTAAGTGGAGAAACAAGTTGAGCGCGATACCACCAGGGACGTGGTGGAGATCTAACTCGGAACTTCTCGCTTATGACGCGAGCGCTCTATTACTACATCACTACGGCATATTTAATTCACCTTTCTCCTTATTATTATTTCACGCAATGCATTATGGTACTCGTATATATAGAAAAATCAAAACTTGCAATTCGTAGATTTTTTAATTTTTCATTATTTCGTGGCTTGCTCGTTCATAGATAATAATTTCTCTTTTGTAATTATGTTTACGTCAAAATCTTTGACAAATCTTATTATCTCCGCAGGAGAACCATTGCATTGTACTATAAACAAATATTTCAACGTAGTTGTGGTTGAATTTCGTTAGAGAAGCTTGTTTAAAGTATATTTTACAAGTATACATAAGTAAAACAATATATAATAGCTTATTTAAAAGCCCTTGCATGATTCCACTAAATGCAACATTTTCTATAATTACAAACGAGGATTTAATAATGATGAAAACAAAATAATCACTAAAGTAACTCTAATGTAACTTAATGGTCAAAATACAACACCTTAGAATTTTACGTATGACTTAGATGATACGCATCACAAAAGTTCACATGATATTATGACAAACACAACAAGACAACACCTCTGTTTCCGATAACACATCAATATATATTTAATTATAAAGTAACAGACAGTATTTTGAAAGAAGAGCTGCTAAACATAAAATAGCTTGTTATCAGTTATTCAAAGATAACTATGTAAAATAGATTAGAGTTAAACCAAATATTTTATTATACAGAAATAAACCAAGGAATGACAATGGCTGTGTTAATTATTGAAATTAAATTTGGCCAAAATCATTTTTGTGAAATATTTATTAACGAGTAAATGAAAAAATGTTGAAAAAGCATAGTTATAATGGAAAGATTTCTACATTATTTGGACCATTTAGTTAAAACTAATTTGACTGAGGAAAATTAAGGCTTGCCATAACGTTAATTAATGTTGAGAAAATTATTCAAATTAAATCAGAAACTAAAGATCAATACAAAAACAAAAATGGATTGAAGAAAAAAATAAAAAACTTACTGCATCAAATTTTGGTACAGTTATAAACCGAGAAATAATACTCCTCCAACTTTATTTTTAAAAAAGCTTATAAGAAACTGTGATAGTAGTTAACTATCACAAGCTTGTTAATGGAGTATTGAAAATGAAGATATTGCTCATAAAGAGTTTAAAGAAAAAGTTAACTGTGATGCTAAAAAATGCGATCTTGTTATAAATCCTAAATGCCATGGCAGGTTCTAGCCCTGATGGGTTACGTATTAACTAAGACAGCTACAAAATGATTAAAGTAAAGTGCTCTTTTTTAAAAAAAAAAATCTTTGTGTACAAAAAGCTTGTACTAATAAAACTTTTTGTATGGAAATAGTAAGACAGCAAAAATAAAAAATCAAACAGTTAATTTTACGAATGTCAAAGCATCAAAGCTCTCACAGAAAAGAGCGAAATTGACTTTGTTCTTAAATTAAGACTTTTTTGTGGAATCAATTAAATTTGAAAATAAAAACTGGTTCAATAAGATTTTACCTTGTTTAAATACATTTTATTTTCAATTCATGATTAAAAAAATAATTGAAAGGATGTAAAAGTAGGTAAAAAGATTGACAGCAGGTGATAACACAGCACATTTTTTCGATTTTAGAGAAACCGCGCCATTGGAGTAAAGTGGGACAAGAGATTAATTAGCAAAATATTAACTTAAATCACTTCACTGTCAAAAAACACTTTTTAAAAATCGGTATTTTTCAAAAACGGGGTTTTAAGCAGAAAGACACAGCGATGTTTGTTAAATAAAGGAATAGAAATCTTATTACATTCATTAGACAACAGTGATCAGAGACCTCTTCTGATTGAAATTTTCGTACCGTCTCACTTCTCCCCACTTTCCCTTATGTTTAACAGGAATTGGAAACTGTACTGGAAAATTTTAACTTATGGTTTAGAAAAAAAAATTTCAAAAATTTATATATATATTTATCTATAGCTATTTATCTACCTACCTATCTATATAAATATAAATATCCATCTAAATATATATATATATATTTTATAATATATATGTTTTATAATATATATGTTTTATAATATATATATATATATATATATATATATATATATATATTATTATATATATATATATATTATAAAATATATTTATGTTATAATATATATATATATATATATATATATATATATATATATATATATATATATATATATATATATATATATATATATATATATATATATATATATATATATATATATATATATATATATATATATATATATATATATATACATACATATGACCCCATAAAATTTGTAACCCCTTCTAATCGAGGGGGGTTTAAACTTTGTCTAGTCAATTTTTGAACTGTTAATAAATCATCATAAATAATCTCAATCAGCTAATAGGTGGTGAATTAATAGAATTTTTTGTATCAGTTGGCCCAAATTTAGCTAAAATCTTGTGACTGATTTTTATATTATGTTAATGATGATGTTATATATATATATTATATTTATGTTATATATATATTATATTTATATTATGTTAATAATTTTATATTATGTTAATATTATATTAATAATTATGATTTTCCAATAACTTTAAAATATTTATATCATAATATTTTAGCATGAAAATAAAATAAATAATATAGATAAATAAAAAATTAATTTAACTCAATAATTACCAAAATAAAATTGAAGTATTTTATATTCAAACAAGACAATGTAAATAAATAGATATTTTTGTTAATAAGTTTATATTATAAATACCATCAAAACATCAACCTAAGCTAACAAACACTAAAGTAAAAAAAGGATAATCTAAAAATAACTGGCTTTGGTCAATGGTTACCAAGCCGGCAAGTCAATCTCAACACATTAATGCACTCTAATAAATAGTGACCAATAATATCAAAATAAAAATTACAAAACGAAGTTATTTAATTAAAAAGTAGTCTTTATATTACTAGAATAAACCATTGCAATTGATTAAACTTATATGATTGCTAACAAATGAGGTAAATTAGTAAGACAATTTTTTAAAATTGAAAACCGCTGAAATATTTCCTGTATTTTATTTAAAGTAACCAAATTTTCAAACTTAGATCAAACAAAATGGCAGTCATTTATATATATAAATTTTATTTATTTTGAGAAGTGAAGTGAAGCCAAAGAAGTATATATACTACGTATACTTAATAAATATTAGATTTCTAGAAACCATTTACATATATAAATCTAACTGACTGACTGAGGTTCTACATAATATAACTTAATTGAGTTTTTAATTCATAAATATATAGAAAGCCACTAAACTCAATATTTAAGGCAATAAACTTCTTTGAAAAATGGCTATTTTCTGATCAGTGTTAGTGCTGCCTTGATAAACCACATTGCTAGTATTCACATCTCATACAAATTTGTGATAAAGCATAATTTCCCATCCGCACATCTAGTATTATCAAACATGCATATTAATACTACATAATATGAATGATGTAAGATGTGACAACTGGGTTTGGCCCCTTTCCTTCCCATAAAAAAAAAAAAAATAGAAAATGTGGTGTCTATCTAAAAAATAAGATCAAAATTCTTCACAAATTTGTATTCAAGAGCATTAACATTGCTTTTAACAAAATAACAAAAAATTTCACTTTCAGCTAAAACAATAAATAAACTGTTAAACTATACTTTAACAGTACAGAAAACTGTTTATAAACAGTTTTCTGTTATGATATATATAAATAACAATAATAATGCATGCTTGTATATATATATATATATATATATATATATATATATATATATATATATATATATATATATATATATATATATATATATATATATATATATATATATATATATATATAATATATAGAATTGTGCAATATAATTTAAGATCATGGCATTGAGAATCGAAGTATACAGTTTACAGTAGTTTCACTCTATTTATATATTTACATAGTAAATATATAAATAGAGTGAGTACCTTGTTTATTTTTATTTTAAGTGAAATTTTTTTAAATATATAAATATACAGCTAAAATATGAATATACCCATATAATAAGACAATGTAAAAAAGCATAAACTATTATGAATTACTTAGCGTACTTTTTACTTTTAACGATTATGATTGCTGATTACTAACAAATAAAAGCAGTTATGAATTTATATATAAAAGTCAAGTATACCATGTTTACATACCCGTATCAACTCTTCGGAGTTGGGATTTTTTATTTTGGTGAATTGGAGCATAGTCTCTTCGTCTAAATCAGACATAAGTATTTCAAGGGTTGCATCACATGCTTGTGGACCTTCATGAGGATTGTCTGTGGTAAATAAATACCACTTACTACTCTCATTTAGTCCCATTGAGTAAGCTGCTCCATCTAAATATCCAAAAAAAGTTAAGATTTTTGCTGGCTGTATGGAAAAAATTTAGTAAAAATCTATATATATATATATATATATTGATATAAATTTAAAAAATTACATGGAATAAAAAGCTTGAGGTAGTTTACTTCTTCATTAAAGGTTTTATGAATTCCAATTTGATCGTTTGGACGAAGGTAAGCACGCCGAGAGTAAAAAAAGTTCTGTAAAAGCAACTACCTCATTAGAAAAAATTATAATTTCGATTTAATAACAGTTAAACAAATTTCAAAGTAAATAAAAAATTTAAGCAACCTGAACAATAGACATTTTGCCATACTTTTCAGCAAGTCTTAGAATTTGCTGGACTGATTCCAAAAGTGTTATAATACCACATGTTTTTATTATGAACCGATCTTTGGAAATAAACATGCTGCTTTCACTATTTAGAAAATCAATCTGTTAAACTTTGTAAGCAAAATTTAAAATTCACTCTTTAGAATGGTGTTGACTCACCTTAAAACATAGGAATCAATAAACTCATTTTTTTTGACACTAACTATTTCTGCATTAACAATCTTCAGCATGGCATCCAATTCAAATCTAAAAAAAAAACTCTCATAACTTCTAAAATTTTCAACAAAAAATTTCCCTAGATATAATACATAAATAACTTCACCCGATTCTATTCATACAAAATTGAAATATTTAGTTTCATTTAGTAACTATGATTTAATGTTTTAAAAACAAATTTTAATAATAATAAAAACAAAAAGGAAGACACCACCAAAGAACCTTGTCTTCGCTTTCATAACATCAATAAAAAAAACTTCTTTTTTGTCTAAAAATACTGTCTTTCCTTCTCACTGTATAAATTACTTTGCTCTTTTTTTAACTATGTTCCTAGCGTGTGTTTGCGTGAAAGCGGGGGCGTATTAAAACTCAATAATAATACATTATCATACATGAATTTTTTAGCATTATATATTTCGATTTAATGCTAATCGATATTATACTAAAATGCTCTTTTATTAAAATTTTACATGATTATATATACCATATAATATTTCCCCAGAGAGATATTATAGGTATTTTTAAAATTTAATTAAAAATTTAATTTAAAATAAAACTTAAAAATTTAATGTTTCAAAATAACCTTCCCAACTAGAACATTAGCCACACGTACTAACCCATCGTTTCCAGGAAAAACCTCCGTTACTCGTTAAGTGGCTAATCGCCTCTTAAAATTTTATCAAATATAACTAATACTAGATCGCCTATTGATAAGTTACCCATTATGTTGTGCCATTTATTTTGTGGTCCAAGCATTGGCAGCCATTCTCTCATCCAAGGATAACAAAATGCTTTACTAATTCTTGAACTTGACGTCATCTTCTCAGGTTGAATGAAATGGTATCCACTGCATCCATGGCAAACTTACCACCTAATTGTTTGAATAAAAAATGATTGGGTGTGAGAGGTGTGCAGTATTTTGGGATCACTTGATTGGTAAGTCAGTGGTTTTGAATTTAAAAGCCCTTCTGTTCAAGTAAATGCTGAAAAAAGTTCCTCATCAATGATATCCGCGTTTCCCAGTTGGGAATAAATTGCTCGTTTTGCGTCTTTTATCATGATTTTGTGAACTCCTCCAAAATGAGGGGCTGCTGGTGGGTTAAAATGCCATTTAATACCAACATGGCTTTTTGTTAAATATCATAATATTGTTAAATATCATATGTTAAAACATTTGATATTTAACAAGTGACTTTTAATTTAATTTAATAAAAATCATTTTCTATTTGATGAATTGTTTTTTCTACTGTTTCTATTTTTGTTAGTTTTACTTTTTATCTGTTTTACTGCTACAATTAAAGTTACTTTACAAATTGCAGAAAAATTAACAGTCACTAAGTTTATGGTATTAAATTAAAGCAGAACACTATTTCACATCTTGTTAAATCTATACCAGACTAATTTGCCTATTTCAGACCTAGTAATATAATAGCTCATTTACAGTGTATAACACAAATTCATTCTACATATATATATATATATATATATATATATATATATATATATATATATATATATATATATATATATATATATATATATATATATATATATATATATATATATATATATATATATATATATATATATGAGTTTATACAAAGATTTCCTGAAACATAACAATTAACTATACAGAATGTAATTTTGTTCATGTATATTATTATATAAAATTGTATAAAACAAATTTCTGTTTGGTACAAGTTTGCAAGAAATTTAATTAAGGGTACAAATGTTTGCAAAGAAATTAAAAACTTATTGCTTATGAAGCAAGTGCTCTACCACTACACCACTACTGCATATATTTGTTTGCTGGTTGTCAGCGCTCGAAATAACGGCCGATCAATGATCTGCAATTTTTAGGGAAATTTCAAAAAATTCAAGGGAAAACAACCTGTTTTTGTGAAGAAATTACATTTGATCAGCAAGCTTTGAAAAACTATTTCAAGCGATGGGTTGTGAGTTAAAACTCTTCAAATTTTTAAACTAGGTAGGGAAAAATAACAAAAAAAGATTATTTCTTCCTGGTTTTTGGTATTCAGGAGCTCAAAAAATGTCAAGTGTCTAAGGGACTTTTTTGGGAAAAAAATTAGAGCTTTTAAGTTAGAGGAGCAGTAAATTTTTGAACCCAGAGTTCTTATGTATCATGGTGGTGAAAACTCCGGGACTCTGGGCTATAAAACAGTAGGTATCATGAATTTTTTTTCTTATTGCAGATCATAAAGTACTCAACATTTTTTAAAGCCCACTTTAAAGAGATTTAAAGCCAGAGTTCTTTTTGGGACTCTTCATTTCTAGAACAAGTTTATTTGCACCCACATAACAATATTGTAATCACATCTTCATGTATTAAACAAAGTTTAATATAAAAAAATTTAACAATTTAAAGTTTCACAAAGTGTAAACAGCCTTTATAACATCAAATCTATCTTATTTTATTTTCTTTTGAAGCTTTTATAACATCAAACAGTCTTTATAACATCAAACCTACCTTCTTTTGATTAAGAAATTGAAAAGATATTGAAAATATTCAAGTAAAATTTTATATACTTAATTAGATTAAGCATGACTGTTCATATCAGCAAAATATTGTGGTTTTGTAGACTAGTTGACTATTTATATTTCACCAAAAAGTATATTTTATTTATATAGTATTCTCTAACAAATGAACTTGGCATTATGACTTTTAGTAAACATGGAGATAATGGAACATTATTTCTTTTATATTACCAAGTTACATATAAATAATGAGTTTTATTGATTCATAGACAGATAGGAAATGTGTTAAAAAATCAAATATTAAAAGGTAACATATTACACAATATAGGTGATTTTCAAATGAAAACCTAGCTTACTAATTGACTGATTTTTAAAATGAAAATTGTGGCTTACTATTTAGCTTATTCCATAACTTTATTATTTTCAGAGAAAGAACTAAGCTCATATTCTCTATAAATACGAGTTTTAGATGGCCTTCTAAATGCAATTAGTGATGACAATGTGGAAGAACATTTAAACATTCACTTAAATACATTAAGCACTAACTTGCATTCCATGCAATAGATAGCATAGTTTTCATTTAAATTTTTTTTAGGCAAAATAGCATATGGTAAAGGTACCCAGTTACTATGGTTTACAAAATGAACTTGATTATTATTTTTTTTTTTTTTTGTAAACCAATAGTTTAGTAAGTGCAGATATTTTAACAGAAAAAAAAGAACTTTCATATCTTCAAAAGTTGTATCAACTTTACCAACCAAATACTTAGTAGTGAAATTTTTAGTAGTGAAAACATTTTTACTACTTTAGTAGTAAAAATGTTTTACTACTTTACTAGTGAAAATATTTTTACTACTTTAGTAGTAAAAATGTTTCCACTACAAAAAAAAAAACTTTTTAAAAATTGCTTAATGTAACAATGACCAATTTACCATAGATAAGATTTTTTAGATATAGACATTTTAATATATAAAATATTTTATGTATTTAGAAAAAAACCCGAAGTATTAGGATTAAGAATATGTTTAAGAATATGTGTATGATTCACAGATATACTCCAAGTAGGAAAAAAACAGATATGCTTTATTAGCGCATAGTCTCTGAGGGTATTTTAATCTAACGTTCATAAAAACTATACTATAAATAAAATAATTAAACGTTGATAAAAATCATTCAGATTTTAAAATATTTTTGTTCATCAAACTTTACTATTGCGGTCTGCTTCTTTCAAATAAATATTATAAAAGCATATTTGTTATAAATAGAAATGGATTTAAAAATAAACGATTTTTTATAAAAGTTACGTAATTAGCGACGTTCGATTAGAAAGAAAGAGGCGGCGCAAACAACAAATACAAAATAAATTCTTATCATAATTAAATTTGATTAAAGCTATTGTAAATAAAATGTCATTTAGAAATTTTCATGTAATAGATATTTATTGCCAAAATAATTGACAAATTTGTACTTGCTTTTAATATATTTTTTTTAAACTGTTAAAATGTATTTTTAGATCGTTAAAAGCGTTTTTTTAAGAATTTAATTAATAATCCGATTTAATAAAAAGTCGCTTAACAACCGAAAAACTTCGAGCTGCTTAACAACCAAAAAAAGCTAGATTGTTTAAAATTTGATAAGGCAAAATAAATTTAAAAAACTTAACATTGGAGCAAGTTTTATATATAAAAAAAGAATTCCGTAAGCATTAAAAAAACTGCTAATTTAATAGTAACTTAGGAATTTTGTAAAACCACTTCATATCCTCTAAAACCACTTACAAGAGTATAATTTCTATAATAATAAAGTTTAATAGAAAGAACAAATAATATCAAATATTTAATTGCGGAAAAATTTGATGCTTTTTTTTTAATAAAAAACGCGGAAATAGTACCACGCGAACCTGATAACAATTTAAGAACTGTAAAACTAAAAAAAAAAAAAAAAAAAAAAAAAAAAGATGATAATCGTAGTTTTCATAAAAATTAATTAATCGGAAACATAACGATATTATTGAATTTTAAAAATATTTTGATATATATTGATATTATTGAATTTTAAAAATATATTGAAGAATATTGTTTAGAGTACCCTTTTATGTATGTATGTATGTATAGTTATTATGAACTTAATTGAGCATATCTAGTTTTCCGGAAATATTATAATATAGTTTATCGGTAAAAATTGCACTTGTATACATGATTTAATCACGTTAACAACATTGTAATAAATATACAAATAGTAACATTTATTTGTTTAGTTATTTTTTATTATACGGAAATATGGAAAGTTTTGCATTGTACGGGAAGTATAAGGTAAAAAAAACTTTAAAACAAAAATCATAAGACAAAAAATATATAAAAAAGGAAATAATAGTTTTAAATAACTGTGGGCGGTCACTTGATTAAAACCTTTTGTTTTGAGATCATTTATGGACGGATTTTTTTAAGTTTGTGTCTGCGTTTGTTGAGAAATTTCGAGAAGTTCTGATTCCAAGTAAAAAAATTATATATATATATATATATATATATATATATATATATATATATATATATATATATATATATATATATATATATATATATATATATATATATATATATATATAAAGGAACATAAAATTTGCAAAGTAAATGCACTCATTTTTTTGGTAAATAAAAAACCCACAAGTAAAATCACGATATACTAAGCTTAGTATATTTCACGAGTTTGACTGTTTTTTTTTTACTAATAAAATAGAACACCAACAAAATCTATTTTTTCACTCATTAATTTAACTTTTTTTTCAATTGACAAGAATTTAAATCTTGCATTTTGTGGTAGCATAAAATGATCTTAAATAACAATTTTAAATTTATAATATTATATGATACTATATATAATAATATGATACTATATATATAATAATATGATACTATATATAATAATATTATATATTATATTTGTATCATATTATATGTGATACAAATATTAAATTTATGATTTTACAAATATTAAATTATAGGTTTAAAAAAAATTATATTTTAGGTTTTTTAGTTTATCTAAGTTTTAGCTTATCTAAAAAAAACAGAATTTGACAAATATTTGAATACAAAATTATAATAAACTATATATATCTATATATAAATAAATATTTAAATGTATATTTATAAACACATACAAATATTTAGATATATATTTATAAAGATAAATAAATATATGTACAAAGAGCCATGGCTAGGCTACCCCATGCCCCCAATTGGGCGAGAGCCCAGCAAATTTAAGGACCCTTAGTTTGTAATAGCTAAAGAAAGATTTTTAAGATTTCGGGGTCCTAATGACAGATTTAGGGGGTCTCTGGTCTACTAGCCATTGCTATATATATATATATATATATATATATATATATATATATATATATATATATATATATATATATATATATATATATATATATATATATGAAGTTAAATAAATATTTTATAATGCATTAAACTAATCATTGATAAGGTTCATATAAAAAGAAGCACTGTGACAAAATTTTGAACTTCTAATTTTAAATATTTATCACGTAAAATGATATTAATTTTTAATCAAAGCATATTGTTATATTTTTATAATGATGAAACTTTTATTATAGTACTTGATAACTGTAACAAATTTCAGAAGCACAACAAATACATGTACAAGGATGCTGATAAACAGTACATATTTTTTAAAAATTCAAATTTTTAAGTAATGCGTTAAATAAAAATAATTAAATACAATAAAATAAAAAATTATATATCTATATTTAGCCATTAAAATATTTTATTTAAATTTATAATATATAAAACTACTTTAATTAAAAAAGCAAAAAAAATTTTAAGAAATAAAAAATAATAAACAAGAAAGTCTTATTGAGCTTTGTTATTAATCTCGATGTTTAGATGTTTATATTAAACATTTAAAAAATAGCATTAATTTCTAACTTTTAATTTATTATAAATATCTAAATATCTGTACTATTAATTTCTAGTCATATTCATTACAAATATTCAAATTGCACTATTAATTTTGAACATTTTGACACTAAGTGTGCGTGTTTGTGTGTATGTGTGTGTGTGTGTGTGTGTGTGTGTGTGTGTGTGTGTGTGTGTGTGTGTGTGTGTGTTTGCGATTCTGTGTGTATTAAAAATATTAACTACCTAGGAATGTTTCGTAAATCTCCTCCTATTATCTCCAAACTACTTTTAAACCATATTTCTAGCAGCTTTTCAGTGCCTTCAAAAAAGCAATCTTGGTTAATATGCTCCAGTTTTTCGATCATGACAAAATAGAAAACACAACTTCATAAAAAGTTCGATGACAATAAAAACGCAATAAACCTCAGATATTCTTGCAAACGTAGGTATAACTTAAATGTCGTAGCAAAATGCTAAAACATTATTTTTTCTGACCCTGAACGGTCAGATTCTACTACTTTTAGGGTGGAAAAAGTTTAATATACTCGACAGTTAACGTCTGCATGAAACCTGCTTCCAGCTTGTTATGATGTCCACGACATGAGATTATAGAAGCTGTGGTTATAAATTTAAATTTTTATTGTTCCGCTAATTATTCATACACTGAATAGCACTCATAAAATATCCATAAGAATTGATCGTTCCGTAAAATATAACTTAAAAGTTTGATATGCGAAAACGAGGTTAAATTTAAATAATTCGCAGCAGGTTATCTGTAAAAAATAAAAACTCGCACTTCGTCTCCATATTATTTAATAATAATAATAATAATAAATAATATATTTAAATGAATAATTTTTGTATATAAAAATAGTTAATCTTTAAAATTAAAAATATTTTCAATGCTCAATGTTTTATGAAAAATTCATTGCTTTAAAAACAAAATTTAACATAAAGTAAAGTGTTGCTAAGCAACTAAATTATGAATTTAACGTCATTACAAAAATTGTCCAAGAATTGACCTCTAAAGATAAAAAAAGATTTTTTAGCATAATATGTAATTAAAATTAATACATTTACGAATAAATATAATAATAACAATAATAGTAGTAGTAATTATAATAAAACTAAAGATGCTTTTTATGTTTTTTTTGTTTGTTTGTTTTTTACAATCCATTAATTAAAATTTTGTTTTCAAATAATATATGTATAAATAAAGTTATAATTATTATAATAATGTTTAAATATGATAGAAAATAGTTTTAAAACATCGCTTATCTAGACTAGACCGCAATCTTAAAAAACATTTTTTTAAGACTTATAAGTTTAAGTTTTTTTTTTATATATAAATTTAAGGAGCCCATTTGCATAACACGGTAAGTTTAAGGAAACTGGTTTTTGAGAAAAGAACGAAAAACTAAACTACTCTTAGTTGCGCATCAACTGAAATTGATACTTTCGTTGTCCATTTTTAGGACCAAAATATGGTTGGTCTAATATTTAAATAGATGATAGATTTCAGTGTATGAAATGTGGAAATAGAATTAACTCAAAATTTTTATTTATGTGACGCGTTTTGCAGTTTATTTATTAAGTGACTTTTTTTCTCTTTTTCTTTTTTTAATGTTTTATTGATGAAACGCTTTAATGTTTGTTTAGAAAAATAATAATAACAAAAGTGCTTTTTTAAAGTTTACCAAAATTTTTGGTACAGCCTGAACTCTATACTGTTAGTTATAAAATAAAAAAATCCGTGGGTACCACCTATGGCGCAAGAGTATTGCACCAATGGCGCAAGAGTATTGCTGCCTGAATTAAACTTTAAGTTTACTGTTTATATAAAAGGTTTTTTTAAAAAAAAATAGGCAAAAACTAAATCTAACTTTTTTCTTGGGATGAAAATTTCACGGAAATTTTCAACTCTGGAAATTTTCCGGAAAATTTTCGGATATTAGGAAATTTCAGAAACTTTCAAACTTTTTTTTAATTCATGGGTAAAATTTTATGTCTTATTTAGGTAGTTATTGTGGACAATTTGTAGTAAAATGTTGTAAAGCAGACTATAAAAATTTTAGAAAGCCCCCTTTAAAAACACTTTTTTTGGTATTTTTGTTGAGTTTTTTTCATTATCTTTGTTTATGGCTATAAATAATTTGCACCCCCTCCCTAAAGGGGAGTGGCATTTTTTCAGTCTCTATCAAATTGACCCACAAGTATATATTCACATTATTTTACAATTTTTTCCTGATTTAATGACGTTATCGATTGATGAAAGGCAAAAAGTAAAAAAAAATATTTTCCACCAATACTGCAATTTGTGTGTGTATGTGTGTGTGTTTTACAAGTATTATACTAAACAAATTAATTGATTACTATTTTACTGAACATTCAAGTTAAATGTGTTTTCTAATATTATTTTTAGATAAATTATTATAATCTAACATAGCTATGCATTTATAACATGTACCTTTTATAAAAATGTTTTAAATGCAATTTTTATACATAAAAATCTTCTTATCTTTTTTAAAATTTTATATGCAATATTTACACATAAAAAATCTTTGTTTCTTTAAAACACTTTACAAAAATAATTGCGTAGAGCGGGGCTAGTTAAGCAATCTTTACTATATCTAACAGATCTCACGAACGGTGTGTCGGATTTACATAATTTTTTCACTATTTGAAAGATAATTTAACCTGCTCAAAATTTGTTGAGAAAAAAAATATACTTTTTTTAATAAGATAATGTTTAAAGTTTGCGGAGCTGCTCAACCTGCCCTAGAGGGGCAAGTTGAGCAGTAGTGTACGGTAAGTTGAGTAATCAACAAATGAATGAATATGCATAGAACAAAACTTGGGTGAATTTTCAATAAAACTTTCACTAACGTAAGTGTGTGTTTAATTTATAAATTTTTTATTTTATACACTTTAATGACTTTAGTAAGAAAGCGTCATAAAATATAAACATATTATTTTATACAATTATGTTGAACTTTGAAGCACGATTTAAAAATTACTTATTTTTAAAATATATATAAATAATGTATCTTCAATTATTTTTTATCAAAGTTGTTTTTGTGTCTTCGAAAGATCAGTTTTGATTATTTTTTTTTAAACTGCTTAACTTACCCCTACTAGGCTAGGTGACATATCAGTTAGGTTTTAAAGAGAAAAGTAAGACTTAAAAAATAGGTAGTTTAAATCGGAATTCCAATAAATTGCTAAAATATCAATACTTAAGCGATGTCAGATAGAAAAAGTATAAGCATTTAAGCAAAAAAAATCAAAACTTTTTTTTTTACTTTTTTGGTCAAATATAGAAAAAGTGCCCGTGTATCTTACTCAGCTGCTTTCCAACAATATTTTGTTGCGCATTGTGTTCATATTTTAATTCCCTAACTTTCATCCATTAGTTGTTTTGCCATGTGATGCGTAGTTTTTAAGATATTTAAATTGCCCAACCTGCCCCTATGCTCAACTAGCCCGCTCTACCATACGCAATAAAAATTGTTATTCTGAAAAAGATTTTATTTTTTTATCTTTTTTGAATGTATTACATCGTAATTGAGAGAAGTAAAAGCTAGAAATATGTTATAAACAAGTTCAAATGACAGACTCGTAAAACATCTACTTTTCGTTGTTCCACAAAAGTAATATACGTAAAAGTAACATATAATAACTTAAACGTTTTAATGCTTTTTTAAAAAAAACTCGATGTGAAAATTTTCGAAAATTTTGAGGAAAATTTTGAGGAAAATTGCCGTAAATTCAATCCTATTTTTTTTTTCAAAAAATTTTCACGAGTTTTTATTGCAAAAAACTTATATTGTTTTATAAAATTCATTTTTTTGTTTAAAAATATGCGTTTTATCATTGTTGTATTTGGGTATTTTTTAAACATTTTAACCAAAAATATAAATAAATAATAAGCAAAAAATACACATCTTTTAGTCAAAATTTTATAATCAAGTTTATCAATATCGCGAGTCGCGTCTTTTTTATCTTACTCTCGTAAGCCTGGTTTAAAATTTTACTTTATTTAATATAGTGATATTCCTGCGTTCTTAGATATATTAAGCTGTAAATGTCTTTACAAAAAGAACTATATTTTACCTAGATTGAATGTTTTTGACATTGTAGTTCTGATTTTATAATTCAATCTCTTATTATTTAAAAATCTTAAGATTTTCTTAAGAGTTTTTTAAGGCTTAATTGTTCAAAACCAAATTCTAATTCAAAAAACGATTTTATAAATTACATTATGGAACAATTTTCTATGGACTTTAAGACTAACAGCATTAAGTGTTATTTTAGTAAATTATTGTTATTGATTCATATTTATAAATAATATATAATAAAAGTATTCTTATTATAGATAAAGGTTTTCTCTTAAATAATTTTTATTTATTAATATTCATATATTTATTAATTTATTAATATTATTTATTATTAATTATTATTAAAATTATTTGTCAAAAAATTCGAATCAACTTATTGTAAATTGTGTTACTGAATATTAATAAATCTAGTAAAAAAAAAGGTTTATAAATCTAGTAAAAAATAAGGTTTATAAAACTATAAAATAAGAGAATCAGATTAATAAAAGTAAAATTTGTTGGGTTACCAAAATTTTTTAGGTTACCAAAATTTGTTGGATTACCAAAGAAGAATGAATATTTATATATATTTAATAGAAGAAAAGTATAAAAAGGATAGAATCATTTGCTTGGATTTTGAATGTGCTTTCAGTAGTTTATCCAATCTGATCGAATTGTGTAATATGTATGTTTACTCACCATATAATTGCATATGTTAGTTGCCGAAATATTTGAATTTAATGTAAACGAGAAGGTCTCGAAATATGATTTAAGTAAGATAAGTAAGAGGGTTCTAGCGATTTATTAGAAAGTAATGAAAATAACTTTAAATAAATTTATTAAATACTTTTTCAGCAAATTTTAAATAACTTAGCTATAACTTTAACTGAAACACAAAGATAATTTAAAAAAGTTGTTTGATCTTTTTTTTTTTTAAAGTATCAGACATTATTCATGTTACATTCAAGGCGTCGGGTAATCTTCCGATGCAATGCCGTATCTCGTACAAGTAGGTTAATAGGGCGCTTTTTGTTTGTATAAGTATTAAAAATTCAATTTAATACTTATTCAATTTCCGTCAGACGTCTTGAACTTATCACATCATTAATGTTTACAAAAATATTATTGTTTAGATATATAATAAAACTTAATAGTTGTTTATTTAGGTAACAACAATATTTTTTTAATAAATCAAATAAAATTTAAACTAAAAAAAAATAAAGAAAGGAAAAGAAATGTAACCTTACACCGATGGGTCTGAGGCTCAAGCGTAGCAAATATTTCCATTAAACCGAAGCGGAAAGTAGGGTAATTGCAAACGCGGGGAAACTCCAATTATATTCAAAACACGTTATAGTCAACACGTTAAAAGAAATTTTCTTTTAACGTGTTGATTATAACGTTAAAAGAAACTCCAATTATAGTCAACACGTTAAAAGAAATTTTCTTTTAACGTGTTGAGAGGATGTACCATAACCCATTCTAGATGTGCAGTAGTGTAATGATGTTGTGATT